CTTTACAGCAATCTGGGGGGGGGGGGGGGGGAATTAATGTGATTTCTGAATGTCACCCCAGTGCACCTTGCCAGTTTTTAATGGGCTGCCTAACGCATTGCACATTAACACCATTGATAAATTGCATGCGTTACTGCATCGCACCCCAGCGGTTGGTTGTGAGCCGAAAATTCCAAGCAAATACATAAAGGATTTTTTCTTTTACAAATGATCGATTTCAGATCGGCTTTAAGGACACGCTTGTCCTCCTCGGCTTCACTCGTTGCTGCCAGTGAGCTGATAGCTTCCTGTGCTCCTGCCTGTGATCAGTTATCATCATTCCCAGCTATCTCTGTAAAATACAAAACCACTCCCTTCTATGGTATGGAGATGAGAAGTGAGGGGGAGGTGTTCTGTAGTCCTACCCTAGCGTTTGACTACTCTGCTGCTCTATAAATAACATGCAGTGATCTTTTTTACATTCATCTTGCTCTGTACCTAGTGTACTATGTGACTGGCATACCAATCATTCCAGTATGGATGGTACTAATAGGTTAGTTTAACTGACCTACTGGCATACTCCGGGCCCTTGCTGGTCTGCTACTCCGGTGCTGGTCTGTATATGACATACTGCTGACCACTGCACTCTGTATACTGAGGTGTATTTGGCATATTTTCTACCACTGCACTCTGTACTCTGGGTTGTATAAGACATAGTCCTAACCACTGCACTCCACGTACATTATATAGTCTTGACCACTGCACTCTGTACCATGTGCTGTATATAACATACTCATGACCACTGCACTCTGTACAATGGGCTGTATATAACATACTCTGACTACACCACTCTGTATGCTGGGCTGTACATGACATACTCCTCACCACTGCATTCTATATGCTGGTCTGTATATTACATACTCCTGACCACTGCATTCTATATGCTGGTCTGTATATTACATACTCCTGACCACTACATTCTATATGCTGGTCTGTATATTACATACTCCTGACCACTACATTCTATCAGCTGGTCTATATATGACATACTCCTGACCACTGCACTCTATATGCTGGTCTATATATGACATACTCCTGACCACTGCACTCTATATGCCGGTCTGTATATGACCACTACACTCTATGTGCTGGATTGTATGTATCTCTTAGATTCTCACTTGTAGCACAGTGATTAAAGCACATTGTCTGATACAAGGACTGTAACATATGTTACCCTGTACACAGTGGGTGGGCTCATGTTTTAAGCCCCTCCCCCTGTTAGCACAATCTTGCCACACCCACAACTTTCACATCCCTTACCCATTCTCCTCTGGATACCCGCCAAGGCTGAACAACCACCAAGAGAAAAAAAAGGTGTACAGCCCTGCTTCCAGGTCAATGGGTTTTCAATTGTACTGAATGATTCTCCACCAGAGAATGTTTGGTAAAAGTCACATTCACTGCTTTACAAATGGACAGAGTCACAGATGAGAGTCCCCCCCCCAGGGATCCAGGGATCCCTACTTCACTCTCAGAGAAGTCATCTGTGACTGTGTGCTGTGTATGCTGATCCCTCATGTTCCCCGCACATACATAATGTGCACGAATCAATGCGTTTACTCTGATGGGAATGCGAAATACATAAATATATAGAAAGAGGGATCGAATGTGCTGGAAAGAATGTCCATGCGGAGGGTGTTGTATTCAGGATAAGTAAAGTGCAGTGGGTTGATCTCGGGTCTATTGTGCTCTGTGTGTGAAGTGAGGACGGGAAGGAGGAGGTGGGGGACGACGACACAGGACCATCTCCTGATTAACATTCTCCCCTCACAGGCAGACTGCAGCCGGCTCACAAAGGAGAAACTTCTAACTTTCTTCTCTTTGGCTTTTACGCACGTTGTTGGTGATTTCACTTGCCATTGGTGCACGCCTTCCCCTCCTACCCTCCCCCCCCCCAACAGGAATGGACACCCCATCTCTGTCCTGATGACCCTCAGAGCCTTCATGTGGCTGCAGCTCGCTGGATTCACATATTGAACCTGTTTCTTGGCTTATTTATAAATAAGGAAACACTGGAAGGAAACATTGTTGCAGAAATAGAAAAGAAAGATGTACGGCGTTGGTCTGGGCTCTCTGACCCTCTGTGTCCTCCTGCAAGGTAAGTGTTTGATTTGTAGTCACCAATAGGGCTCGTTCGCACCAGGTGCGTTGAGTGGCGCCGATCAGCTTTGATCAATGCAGGCACAACGCAAGGACACTTAGTCCCCGTTCACACCGAGGCGTTCCGTGCAGAGGCGTCCCCAGGCCGGGTGTCACCCTAAGCGGCCGCTGGGTGTCACCCACTGGGACGTCATCACGCACTTGCATGACATTATGACATCACCCGCGCTTAACTGCCGGTGGCCATCTCACGGGAGAAAAAGGGACGTTCATCCGTCGGGATGAGGTATGCTGCCGGGTCCCCTCCTCACTCGTGCAGCTGTTGGGCTCTAAGTTAGTGATGGGCCGAACACCCCCGAATTCGAACTCAATGTAAGTCTATGGGGGTAGAACTTTGAAAATCAAATCAATCCCCATTTTGAAGGCTTATGTGCAAGTTATTGGCCATAAAAGGTGTACGGGGGTCCGGGTACTGCCCTGGGGGACAGGAATCAATGAAAAAAACACTTCTAAAAAATACCATTTTGAAAGGAGCCGTGATTGTAACATTGTTTAAAGTTGAAACAATAAAAATGAAAAATTGCCTGTACCTGTAAAGTGGCGGATCTGTACGATGTATAGAACATGCTGTAGCAAAACTGACAAAGAAAAAAATAAAAAGTGTGTGGTTCCCCCTCCCAAACAATACCAGACCCTTTAGGTCTGGAAGGAATGTTAAGAAAGGAAAAAAAAGCGTGAGGTTCCCCCCAAAAGTCAAAAGGTCTGGTAGGAATTTTAGGAGGGACACCATGTAAAAAACAGTGTGTGGGGTTCCCCCTCAAAATCATAGCAGGCCCTTAAGGTCTGGTAGGAATTTTAAGAAAGAAAAAAAAGACTTTTAGTCCCCCCTAAAATTCCCAATTAGAAATGTCCAGCGTTGTCCACGACAACGATGACTCGATTAAATAAAAAATAAAACAAGAAAAAATAAATAGAAATAATAATTTAAAAAATTTGCCGCCCGCCGTCCCGTCCACTCGCAGAGAACTTCGGCGCAGAATGGCATTTTGACAGATGCCGGCGGTGACAGCTAGCTCCGCCCAACTGTTTACAATTGTACGGCATCTGACAGGGGAGCCATGATTGGCCAAAGTCATCATTACTTTGCCCGATCATGGCTCTTACAGAGTACTGGGCCCTAATTGGCCAAAGTCAGGGCTTTAGCCTATCAGGGCTCACAAGGCACTGTGCTGTGCACAATGACTTGTGGGGAGCTCGACAGGCGAACAGCCAACTGCCGATGTTTGAGTTGAACATCGAGCCCATCCCTACTCTCAGTCCATGACCTTTACAGAGGGGGTGACACCAAAATGACTGTCAGTCATTTTGGTGTCACCCCCTCTGATGGTGTCGCCTGGTACAGGCTTGCACCCCCGCATGCCACTGGTTCCGTGAATGCTTTGACACGTGCTCAGGGAACGCATCAAAAACTTGCAGCGCGCTTGCGACGCCCTTACCAGTTAATGGCACCGCAAACGTGGTCAGGAAAACGCGTAGTTTTCCTGTGGGATCACATGCGTTAAAATTTGGGGGAACAAAACGCAGGATTAGTGTAGCAGCATCTGCTACATGAGCTACTTTCTCACATTTGCCACATGTGCGGCCCCCATTGGAATCAATGTGTCATGCATGGCACATGTAGGAACGAAGGTTTGCGAATGTGAACAAATGCGCAAACGTGATGCGCATTCTCACTATGCCTAGGTGTGAATGGGGGACGGGGGCCTGTTCCCACCTAAGCATAGCGTTAATCACATGATAACATGCAAATACTGCACGCTATCACACAACGCAGTGTGCGTTACCATGCGCTAGGTGCATTGCCTTGCCATTCATGCAATGCATTGCCATGCTGCATGCACAGTAATGCATGCAACCTGCATTGTGCAATAGCGCGTGTTGATGGTACAATATCACAACGAGACTAAAGCTGGCCATACACTAGTAGATTTCCTACCGAAAGATCTTTACCACCCGGTAATGCCAGCAGATGCTTGATGAATGTCCAACGAAATTCTGTTTTTATTTTAACATTCGATATTGGAATAAATGGAGTTTCCCAAACAAAAAAAACGCATTCAACGCATGGAATTGATTTTTTTTTTGTCACTTTGGTCGAAATCGATCATCAATTTGACCCCATCAACTAATAGAAAGTCGAAAGAAAGATCTGCCGTACGAACGTTTGTTCAAAAATCTACTAGTGTATGCCCAGCTGGAAGTGCTGCGCTTAGGCCCCATTCACACTGAGCGATTTATCGCGCGATTTTTGCAGCGATATCGCTCATATTTCCACGGGATATCGCTCTATGTAGCTTCTCCAATACATTTCAATGGAGCTGTTCACATCTCGTCGCTCAATATCGCTTGTAGCTCGTCGCTGGTAGCTCGTCGCTCCTACATGACCCTTTTTTCGAGCGATTTCGAGCGATATTGCTCCTGATTGCATACAGCCCAATAGGAAAAAGTTGCGCGACGTCGCTCGACACGTCGCTCAATATCGCTCGTCGCGCAATATCGCTCAAAATCGCGCGATTTTCATGTCGCTCAGTGTGAATGGGGCCTTAGGTGTGAGCGGGCTCCTAGAGAATAGTTGTCTCTACGTGTCCTGTACTCACCATACAAGTGCTGTGGTGTGCATTGCATAAGTTCTTGCAGCACAACGCACAGTAACGCTTCTGTGCATAGAATTAAATGCAGTGGGTTAAAAAAGAAATAAATGTTACGATGTATCGCAGCCCATGCGCACAGCGTACACCAGCACACACGCATTATGTTCCCCATAACGCATGCACGCTAACGGGTCCTTAGCAGACTATATGTGGCTATTGCAGTGTGACGCAACCAAGAATCGGAGTGCGTTCCTCTGCTGGACGACATCAAAGGAAACGTGCATTGTGATTGTTGGGGGGCGCCATGATGTGAAGGGGGGCTTCTGATTTAAATGGAGCCCCTGATGTAAAGGGGGGCTACTGATGTGAAGGGGGGCTTCTCATGTAAAGGGGGGCTTCTGATGTAAAGGGGGGCTTCTGATGTGAAGGGGGGCTTCTCATGTAAAGGGGGACTCCTGATGTAAAGGGGGCCCCTGATGTGAAGGGGGGCTTCTCATGTAAAGGGGGGGCTTCTGAATTAAATGGAGCTCCTGATGTAAAGGGGGGTTTCTGATGTAAAAAGAAGCTTGTCATGTTAACGGGGGCTCCTGATGTGAAGGAAGCCTTCTGATGTAAAGGGGGGCTTCTGATGTAAAGAGGGGCTCCTGATGTAGAGAGGGGCTTCTGATGTAAAGGGGGGCTCCTGAATTAAAGGGGGGTTTCTGATGTAAAAAGAAGCTTGTCATGTTAACGGGGGCTCCTGATGTGAAGGAAGCCTTCTGATGTAAAGGGGGGCTTCTGATGTAAAGGGGGGCTCCTGAATTAAAGGGGGGTTTCTGATGTAAAAAGAAGCTTGTCATGTTAACGGGGGCTCCTGATGTGAAGGAAGCCTTCTGATGTAAAGGGGGGCTTCTGATGTAAAGGGGGCTCCTGGGTAGGAGACGCTCCTCATGTGAAAGGCACTTCTGATATGAAGTGGGGCTTATGATGTGAAGAGACTCTGGTGTGAAAGGGGGAACCACTTTTTGTGTGTGTGTTTTGCATGGAGCCCCCCATAAAATCTATACCAGACCCCTATCTGAGATAAAGGTCTGCTATGGATTTTGGAGGAGCCATGCGACCTTTTTTACTTAAACTGAAAGGAAGTGCGGCCAAATTTTGCTTCCGTTTGCGAACTCCGCATCGGGTGATGAACGCAACCGGAGCCATCTTCCCCGCTCTGACACATGGTCGTGGCTTCCTCTAGTCGAAATTGCGCTCTGATCACAGTTTTTATGCGGTTCGCGACCAGAATCGTGGAACGAATTAAGTTCGTGAACTGAGGTACCACTGTAGAGACTCAGCACACTAGTGCACCGAGCTGTATATGGCGCAGGATTCCTTATCAACTACGGTCACTGCGATATAATGGACCATTCGTTGCAATTTGCAACTTTTTTTTTGCAACAATTTTGCACATAATTTCCTTGTTGCAATTTCTCACACTGTGCCACCTATTACCGCATCAGGCCGGACACTCACCTCCAGAGATCGATCGTGATCATACTCCATTCACGCTGGGCGCATTATTTTGCACAAGCTCACGGAAAGCTTGTGTCGCTCTAGTTAGATATTATTGTTAATGTCAACCCCAAACGCAGCAAGCAAGTTTTTGTGTGTGCAAAAAATGTGCAAAGCTCGCAGCTCCATGAGCTTCTTTTGCCGCGTCCGTTGCGCATAGGGAAGCCCATTGAAATGAACGGGCTGCCCTATGTTGCTGTACGAATAATGCGACAAAAACACTGAGCGTTCACAAGCGCGGCAAGCGTGAATGGGGCCCCAGGCTAGGCTGCATTGGGCCAGGCTCTGCTTTGCCACAATACTTTTGACTTTCCTGTGATATCTTGGCACAGCTTGGCAGTTCCTGCCGTACTCGCCCACAGTTCCTGTCCCTATTATAAAACTCCAGACACGGATCTCCCTGAGGAGCTCCGCGCTGTCTGTGGATCAGGACAGACTTTCCATAACACAAAACAAACTCAGACTGCAGGAGCATAATCACACAATTGCGGATTGTAAAGGACATCATTGCCTTCTTAAAGTGCACCTGTCATCAGATATATTTTCTCATGTTACGTACATGCCTGCTAAGTAGTGATGAGCGAATCTGCCCAAGTTTGATTTGCCAAGAGTTTGGTAAATCTTGTTTGAAACTTCGGAGAACCTGAACTTAAAATTTAAGTCTATAGCAAACCTTCGGGGGTCTATTTCTAAACAATTCTCAGGGCCCTTTACCCAGCGAATATCTGTAACGTTCGTTTTGGGAGAATAATGACAAAAAAACGAATGTTCCTAGTATATTGTTTTCCCAGTTCGAATGTAGTTTTTTGTAATAACATCTTACGGTCACTAGAGGAGCACAGGAGATAAATATTTCCTAGTCACTGGACTAAACTTTAAAGTAATATTAAAGGAAAACTATGTTGTAAGTGTTTTTCCCCATAGTTCTCCTAAGGGTGACAGGAGGACACAAACTAGCGTCCTCCCGTCACCCAAAGCTCAATATACCGCAAGCTACCGCTCGCGGTATACTGAGACACTGCAGCCGGGACAGATCCCGACATTGCTCCACCCAGCTGCGGGATTGACAGCCTATCCAGAGGCAGAGCCAGCTGTACCCACCCCCTCAGCGCTGGAGGAGCGGGGCGATCCCTGCAGGGAGCCGTGAATGACAGTCACGGCTCTCTGCAGGGACAGGATCGAGAAGTGAGCGAGCGACGGTATGTGTTCGCTCACTTCCCGATCTATTGAGCTGACCTGTTCACAGTATTCTGACACTCCAGGACTCATCAAATGCTGAAGAACGTGATGGAAGCTTCGGGAAATGTAGGAGACATGGGCTGCCGGAGAGGCGAGTATAATACCTTAATACCTTCTATCAAGCTTTCAGAATGGTTAGCTAAACCTTTCAAAGGCAACTATGCAGCACCATGCCAGCTTTATAGGCAACCCACACAAGGCAAGTGAGCAAGATGTGTTTTTGCACAGGGCACTTTAGACTCAAAGGCCATCCCAAATTATCATCATCTGCTGAGTGCTTGATTGCAGCAGTTCTCCAACATGGAACAATTCTTTAATCAAGGACTCTCTATTGTCTGAAACTGGCCAGAGTTTCCTCCCATATGATGAGAAAATAATACCCAAACACAAGGGCATGGCCATTACACTAGCAAACCATGTGACTGCTATGGGGCCCGGAAGCCCAGGAAGTTCCAGAACTGTTTGCCTTTGGCTCAGATTATTCAGGCAGCAATAGCATTTGGATAAAATGTATATATTTCACAAAAAGGCAAACTATGCACTCGCCTGCATATTCTGAAGGATCAGCGTGGGTGTAGCACAGTGACCCCGTCTGCTGATAACGGCAACATTGTATCTGTGCTCCATCACCAGTAGGTCAGATTTGAAAAGAATAATTAATTTGGTCTGATCCTGTCATTTTTATTTTGTAGTCACACAGGGCCAGATGTTCATGATCAAAAACGTCCAACTGGAGAAGTGTATTCACGCGGCGGATGACACTGGGCGAGTCTCCCTGGCCAAGTGCAAGGTGAACGCCGACCACCAACACTGGACCTGGGAGCCGAGCACCAACTCCATCATCAACGTGAAGAGTAAACGGTGCCTAACGGTGATCAAGCCACGAGATCTGCCCACTCTGAAAACAGATCTGTGCGAAGGCAGGAAGAACCAGGCCTGGCTCTGTGACAGCCGGGGGTATCTATCCCTCTATGGCCACCAGCTGCACCTGAGCGCCAAGCAAGGGACCAAGAAAGTGATCCTGTCTAGAGGAATGGACAAGTTCAGCAAATGGAAGACAATGAAGGATTCGCCAATCTGTGAAGACGTCATTATGACCACCACTGGCGTACAGCAAAGTTCACCCCATGGCGCCGAGGACAGCGTAGATCTATTTTATGAATGTAAGAGATAAATTCATTATAGAAGCTTTATATTGTTTAAAGGAGAACTATGGGGTTAAGTCTTTTCCCCATAGTTCTCCTTAGGGTAACGGGAGGACACAACTAGCATCCTCCCGTCACCCTAGGCTCAGTATACCGCGAGCTGTATACTGAGACGCCGCAGTATGCCGCGAGCAGCTGCTTGCGGTATACTGAGACGCCGCAGCCGAAGCGGATCCCGACAATTGTGCCGGGATCCGCCCAGCTGCGTGAGTGACAGCTGGCTCTGGGCTTTACAAATACTTCAATTATGAAACCGTTTCACTTTGGAAAAAGTTAGCTTTATTTACTTTATCTAAGGCAAACACTTTAGCTAAGTCGTTGGAGAGAGGGTCCAGAGGTCTGAACACGGTCTGATAATCGTTGGCTTGTCGACTGCCTGAGCTCACACTGCACACCGAGGAGCTGAAAGATGGCGTGTGAGGACAGGCAACCTCTGACCCTAAGGCTGGGTTCACACCTAGGCGTATTGAATATGCCCGTCTGTCGCGCGTTTTTTTACCGCGATTCCCGGCGCAATTGTCGGGATCCGCTTCAGCTGCGGCGTCTCAGTATATAGTGAGCTACAGCTAGCGGTATACTGAGCTTAGGGTGACGGGAGGACGCTAGTTTGTGTCCTTCCGTTACCCTAAGGAGAACTATGGGGAAAAGCCCTGACCCCATAGTTCTCCTTTAACTGAAGCTGCTAACTGGTATCTGAATATTTGTATGCATTGCGCAACTGCCACATCATCACTGACTGATTAGATAATTGCATGAATAATCAGTTGTTGCTAATAATTTGCTCAGTGAGTATATGTCACGTTTAAAATGAATGCTTGCAACTTTATAAGATTTTTTTTACAACCTTTTTTAAAATTCAGAGCATTTTTTTATATGTTGTAGCCACAACCTGCGCTACCTACACTTTCTATTATTTCATGGCATGAAAAGGAACCTGTCAGTTTAGGGATATGGGAGGTGCCATTGCTGAAGCAGTAAGGCCCGGTTCACACCTGGGCGTTTTGTAGCGCGTTCGAACGCTCTGCCAAACGCTCAAACACCAAAATCCCATTATTTCCTATGGGTATGGTTAACACCTGGGCGTATTACAGGCCGTATGAACGCGCTACAAAACCTCCTACGCCCAAAGAAGTACAGGAGCTTCTTTGGGGCGTTTTTGTCGCGCATTTCCATTGGGATACAGCCAGGTAGCTTTAGACAAACGCGCATATTCGATACGCCTAGGTGTGAACCCAGCCTTAGCGTCAGAGGTTGCCTGTCCTCACACGCCATCTTTCAGCTCCTCGGTGTGCAGTGTGAGCTCAGGCAGTCGACAAGCCAACGATTATCAGACCGTGTTCAGACCTCTGGACCCTCTCTCCAACGACTTAGCTAAAGTGTTTGCCTTAGATAAAGTAAATAAAGCTAACTTTTTCCAAAGTAAAACGGTTTCATAATTGAAGTATTTGTAAACCCCAAACTTCCAAAATTGTCCTTCATGTCCTGTATTGAGACACATCAGGATGTGAAAGGAGATCTCTCCCCAGTAAGGGGAATTTCCTCCTAGACTGTTGTCACTGGAGCAAGTTTCCCCATTGGTAGATTTCCCCTCTATTCCGAAACCGGTGACCACTCCACAGTGGGGACACAGAAAAAAAATTGTCTTTACATATACTTTAATTTCACAATATTTAGATAATTGCATAAGCCCAGTTGTGACATGTTCCCTGTATGCCCGTGTATGCCCCTGTATGTATATCTGTCCACATCTGTCTATCTAAACTACTTTTTATATATCTCAAAAGCTGAATTGAGAAACTCCAGTGTGACTCTGGGAATTTCCCCGTTTGAGATGGGAACGAACACCACAACTCAACAACCCAAGAAAACCTTCACTGCAGAGATCGGTGAGTCTTCTCCACACATACAGAGGACCAACACGATGACCTTAGTGATAGGATTATCCACAGGCAAGGGGAAAATTATTTTATTCTGTACACCGCTCCATCTACTGCTCTGTACACCACTCCATCTACTGCTCTGAACACCACTCCATCTACTGCTCTGAACACCACTCCATCTACTGCTCGGAACACCACTCCATCTACTGGTCTAAACACCACTCCATCTACTGGTCTAAACACCACTCCATCTACTGGTCTAAACACCACTCCATCTTGGTTGGGTTTACTGCCACACTCCAAAGACATGCTTGTGGGTAATCTCCTGTGTAAATTGGCCTTAGTATATGTGAGATAAGCTTAGATTGTACTCTCCTTGAGGCCAGGGAATGATGTCACTGATCAATATGTAAAGTGCTTCTCTTCCTAAATTGATAGTGCCATATAAATACCTGTAAAAAAAATACTGTAGCTACATTTGACAGGATATACTTCCAGTGACGACCAGCAGGGGTCCCCCTATGACCCTCTGGGCCCTTTGTAATACTCGTCACCAGTGCCAGGCTGTAGGGACGTTCTATACTCCCACTTCTCTCTCTGCCAGCTGTCTTAGCAATCTGTCATCAATTCATTATTCTGCTTGTGCCCTTGTGCCTCTCTATCTTCTCTTGTAACCTTGTCCTGGTCCTTGCTCCTTTTCTCCTCTGAACAAGGAAAACATTTTTAGGGACCATTCACACTTTGCTGGTCTTGTGTGTTGCGTTAATGAGTGTTGCGTCATGCATCAACATGCATTGCTTTAAGGCCACCCATTCCTTTTCAATGGGCTTGCCATGTACGGACAGGAATGGACACTCATGGACTAGTGCGTTAGGGTGGCACTCAAAAGTTAATTCCAACGCAATGTTCAAAAACACGTAGCGTTACCACAAAGTAAAAGTGTGATTTAGCCCTTAATGTGGATTTATAAACCTTTATAAATAAAATGCTGCATAAAAAATTATCTTCTGTTTTTGATGCTTTCAGAGGAAGTTCCATCGGCCAGTTCTTGGGAGCAGATCTATGTGTTTGAGGAAAACAGTAAGTAGCGGTATATCGTATCAGATGTCAAAGACGGGCCCCTCAAAAGCATTATTTGTGTGTTAAAAGAGACCCTGTCCTCCTAATGAGCAATGTGACAGGGTCTCTTTTAATAGGTAACAAAGTTCATGCTTTTTAGATATCAACTTTCAGCAAATCAAGGCACGTTCATGTTTTTAAGAACTGATTTCTACGCATAGTTTATAATTATATATTTATATGGGGGCAGACATATTTGCCTACTTTTAATAACTACATAATGACACCATTATCATTGTATGCTCACCATACACATTAATGCTCACATACACATTACATTTACCAAAATCATGAGTTATGAGAACCTACTTAAACCATCCAATCTGTTAGTATCCAATCAGACAGGCTATTGTGCTACACAGTTGTTGGTAGATCTGAAGTGAATCCTTGATCTCTGAATAGAAGCAGTGGTCTCTCTGTAGAGGCTTAACTCAACCCCCTGCTGAGTCAGAGCTCTGCAAGCAGCAGGGAGCAGAACCGTTAATGATTGGAGAACGATAGCACTTAAACACGGGAGGTCCAACCTCTGCAGGGAGGCCACTGCTTCCACACAGAGACCAAGGGCTATCCTCTGCAGTTTGGTGGCAGGGAACATGCTTTTCTACTAGGCTGTGGCTACTATCTATATAAAACCAACTGCAAAATGTTGCACACCTTTAGTTGTGAAGTACCTGGAATTCATGTAGCTGACCTAAACTCAAAGTTCAGTTGGGCTTCAGGATGTATAGTGATGACAATGATTTAGTAGTAGTAAGTAGGAATGAGGCTAATAGCGGCTGGTTTTTCTACAGGTATCGGCTGGAAAACGGCTATGTTGATTCTGAGCCCGTTCACTTTCCTCCTAGGGATCGCTATCCTGGTATTAAATGTCCGCAGTAACAAGTAAGTCCAACAAAACCTGTGTAAAAGGTATTACAATGTCAGTGAAGTGTATTTTCTGTGATTTAGGATACATAAACTCTTCTTTAGAAGCATTTTTCATAAATTGTAGAATTCCCATTGGAAGCCATTTGAAGGACACATGTGCCTGCTGTGCGGTTCACTTGGTTGACCTAGAACACCCCTCACGGACTTTAATACATAAGGTTATCAATTGAGCTGCACAGTAGGCACGTAAAGCATTTTTCTTGGCCAGTATGATGTGCCTGAACTATGCAAAAATATTGTTTGGGTGTTTTTGTTTTATCTTAATAGGAAAAGGAAGCTCTCGGCCTTGCCCAGCCATGTTAAACCTCATCATAAACTTGGTACACAGTATGAGCAGTCACCATTAACAAGCAAAGCAGATCTGGCTGACTACCCAGGCCAGGACCCCAACTCTTCCACCCTGAGGCATGGAGAAATCCTGATCGAGTGGAAGGACGGCACGATCACTCCTCTCTATGACCAGCAGTGAAAAGGATCCACAGTTTGGTGCCAAACCTATGTATTTCTGACCATGGATTATCATGGATTGTCTCTCCCAGACTCAAAAAGTTCACGTATCACCTGATAAGATTGATCATCTCCAGAGGAATGATCTCATAAGGTTATCCTTTCCAGGTTTATGTTGCCACCTTAGTAGCTGAGATATCACCAAATCCTCAGACAAGTAGGACATTCAGAGGAAGTGTCCACCAGTCCCTTATCCTTCCATTATTAGAATGCCCTTTGTTATTCCAGAAGACATTTTATTGTGCAGTTTATGGAAATTTTGGTAAGAGTGGCATAGTCTAATCTGTTCCCGTCTAGATTTTACTGTGTATTTGTTAGAACTAAAACACTTTATAATCGATGGCAAGCTGTCAACCATAACTTTCCCAAGCTGTCATACAATACAATGACCAATCAACTTATTTGAGGAGGGTCCAGTAGAAACCACCTAAAATATGCATCTACAAGGTTTTATAACTTTGAAAGTATTTTCTCCAGTCCCAGGACATTTGATATTTTCCATCACCAGATTTTGCCTCTGCACAATTTTCCAGTCAATGGGGCTATTCCAGATCCTAGTAGATGTCTGACCATAAAATAACGTTCCTGCCGAACCTTGCAGTGGAATATTAACTGTTCTAGTTTCTATTAAATGCTGCAGGAGGCAGAAAAACCAGACCCATTCCCAGGCTTCAGTCCCAATTTCTTCCTCCTAGATCCTTAAAAAGCCAAGGACCTTTTGGTTTTCCAAATCTTAAAGTAGAACTATGGGGTTAGGGCTTTTCCCCATAGTTCTCCTAAGGGTAACGGGAGGACACAAACTAGCGTCCTCCCGTCACCCTAAGCTCAGTATACCGCAAGCTACAGCTCGTGGTATACTGAGACGCAGCAGCTGAAGCGGATCCTGACAATTATGTCTGGATCCGCTCAGCTGCGTGAGTGACAGCTGGCTCTGCCTATCTAGAGGCAGAGCCAGCTGTACCCGTCCGTTCCGCCAGTCAGCGCTGGAGGATCGGAGCGGGGAGAATCCAGTCCCTCCCCTGTCACGGCTCTGTGCCGTGACAGGATCGAGAAGTGAGCGAACGCCGGTATGTGTTCACTCACTTCCCGATCTACTGAGCCGACCTTTGACAGTCTCATTGTCACAGGTCGGCTAGAACTATGAGGTGAGTGAAAAGCACTCACCTCATAGTTCTCCTTTAGGCTGGCCATACACTGGTAGACTTTCGTATGAACGTTCATAGTTCATAGGCTTTCATCAGAACCTTCACTAATGCCATCAGAGACTTGACAAATGTTGTTTTGTTTTAACATTCAGTTTTGCCAATTATTGTAATTTCTCAGATGAAAACATTCACTGTTAGAAATGAATTCATTGGAGAACAATTTCCATCCAGCTCATCACTGTTTGACCCCATTAACTCTTAAAAAATCCAATGAACGTTCCAAACATGAATCTTTCTTACCCCAATTCTACTGGTGTGTAGCCAGAATTAGACAAGTTCTCTTAAGCTATTACCCCCTATAAAGCACCATGAATGGTGCCACTGAAGCACTTCAAATTGACAAAGGCCTTCCTTGCACCTTAAACTGATTGTGTTCATACCTTGCTGTGGACAGATTTTGTAAAACACGGTGTTGGTAACTACATCAAGGTTTAAAATCATTATATATTTTTTTAAATTAAAATAGATTAAATTCACTCACTAAAAACGTATAAAACATTTAACATATTAATGTCTTTTCAAAAGATACTTACAATGTTTCTAAATCTGCAGTTTTCATTAAAAGAATATCTGGTGATCCTAACTGAGGGTTCTTGTTCAGGAACTTCCTGTTGTTGGGTGGCAAATGTCTCCTAATTGGGCTGGTGGGTTGTCATCATGTCACAGACGACTTGATGGAGAACACAGGCTGCCATGCCAACACACAGGCAACTGTTATGAGCATCAGGTAGCCAATAAGCAGCACTGAGATGCAAAATAAACCATTAAATCAGGAAGCCGGCCGCCGTGTAATGACGCGACGCCCTGCTTTCTGATTGGCCGTGACGAGAGAGCATGGAGCCGCTTCCCGGCCAATCGGGAAACCGGGCAGTGTGTAATGACACTGCCACTGCAATGGAACACAAGGCATTGCCGGTACCACGTGTTCCGGTGCGGGCGATGTGAACTGTGAGTTCGAGGTGCATTTGGAGTACCATTTAAAATGAATGGCAACGCAACACACCTCCCGCACCAGAACGCACAGTAGGTGCGATTGAGTGGTACAGTGTGTTAATCGCATGGGACAGTGCATAGCCCCAGCCCACCCCACCTGAAGCTGACACTCGGCACCGGACAGCATATTTTGAATGGCTGCTTGGTGCGAGAACTGACAGTGCTGCGCTTGGAAGAGGCTGAAGAGCCTCTTACCTGGAAAAGTGGAAGGCATATGGCGACCCACTGAACACGGGGTAACGACACACCAGTAGAACCAAGGCTGTGTACAGGTATCATTGTGAAAGTATCTATTACATCGGGAATGAGCTGCTTTGATTACATTTTGCTCCAGTGACATTTCAGCCCAACCTCAGACTTTACCCCCTTAGTCTTGGTCCTTTGCCCCCCTCTCATGGTGTTACTACGATGCCCTGTGCTCACAGGAAGTGTGTTGAATGGCATTGGGCAAAGGACCAAGAAGGAGGTGGTTTAAACCTGGAGTTGGGTGAGGATATCCTAAAATCCAAAGCGGGTGAGCTCTCCCTGCTGAAGTCTCCTAGACACATAAGAAGCCAGTGGATGCCTCAGCCCACCAGATTACACCTACAACTAAAGTATTATTTTTGCTTGGACTGGCCCTTTAACCAGCAGCAGATCTTGGACATACTGTATAAGGTATGCTCCAAAAGAAAGTTTACTTATCCTATTGTGTGCAGGGCTTCCTCTCCGCGGTGCTAGTTTTACCCGGTGACTGTCAAACTGCTGCAAGATCACGGACAGGTCAGACAGCAGCTCCTTTGTAAACAAAGCCTGCAAAGTGTTTCCAGGCTTCATTGATCAATACAATGTAACAATATTGTTGCAAAAGTTTAAAAAAAAATTGTTTCTATTTAACCCCTTATTAAGCCATTGTTAACCCTAATAAACCCTAATGAACTACTCTCTTGCCCTCAGATATTTTCATTTATTATATATATGTGTGTGTGTGTGTGTGTGTGTGTGTGTGTGTGTCTAAAGTCAATTATTTTCTCAGTTTTGGATAATGTAGGCCAGGGCTCGAAATTTCCACTCGCCCACTCGCAATTTGCGAGTGAAAATTGCGTGGGGGCGAGTGGAAATGAAGCCTCCTCGGGGCGGCTTCTCTCCTGTTCACCGACCTGATGACAGTGCTCCCTCGTCCGTCCGTCTAAGCAGGGGGGCGCAGGAGGGAGCGCTGCCTGCTTTCAGGATGGCGGAGCGGTGAGGGGGAGAGAAGCTGCGCCCGCAGCTGTCAGGATGGCCGAGCGGTGTTCCGATCCGAGCCGCTGTCATCCTGTCAGAGCAATGATAACAATCTCCGTCAGGGTTTTGTTCCTTTGGGTGGGGGTGGGATTTCCCGTCACTTCCTGTTCCAGGGAAACGACAGGATGATCTCTTCTTCCTGTTATAACTTTATGACATTTTAGGGGTTTTCATCATTTTTTTGCATCGGAAACAGAATTTATACTACCGTATATACTCGAGTATAAGCCGTCCCGAATATAAGCCGAGGTACCTAATTTTACAAAAAAAAAATGGGAAAAAGTATTGACCCGAATATAAGCCGAGGGTGGGAAATGAGGCAGCTACTGGTAGATAGATACCATTAAAATACATTAATATTTATTTAAAAGAAAAATAACCTAGCTCTGTAAGTGGAAAAGGGGGTACAGGGCTACATATCATGTACTACGGATCATTTAACCCATTCATATTAGCAGAGGATAATTGTAAATCTATTGTTCAGTGCACTCTATATGTAGTATATAGTACATGTACATATAGAGTGCCTGCAACAATACATTTACAATGATCCTCTGCTAACATGAATGGGTTAAATGATCCATAGTACAGGGCTACATACAGATCATTTAATACATTCATGTTAGTATCATTGTAAATGTATTGTCTGCACTGTATTAGCAGTATATACTCTATATAGAGTATATACTGCTAATACAGTGCAGACAATACATTTACAATGATACTAACATGAATGTATTAAATGATCTGTATGTAGCCCTGTACTATGGATCATTTAACCCATTCATGTTAGCAGAGGATCATTGTAAATGTATTGTTGCAGGCACTCTATATGTACATGTACTATATACTACATATAGAGTGCACTGAACAATAGATTTACAATTATCCTCTGCTAATATGAATGGGTTAAATGATCCGTAGTACATGATATGTAGCCCTGTACCCCCTTTTCCACTTACAGAGCTAGGTTATTTTTCTTTTAAATAAATATTAATGTATTTTAATGGTATCTATCTACCAGTAGCTGCCTCATTTCCCACCCTCGGCTTATATTCGGGTCAATACTTTTTCCCATTTTTTTTTTGTAAAATTAGGTACCTCGGCTTATATTCGGGACGGCTTATACTCGAGTATATACGGTATATAAAATAATTCCCTTGAGCAAAAGGAAATCCCAAAAGTTGGAACTGTCCAATAAGTATTTAAATCGCATGTAAATTTCATCATAATAGATTTTTAATGAAGTAGAAAAAAGTATAAACCATTTAAAACCAAAAAAAATACAAAAAACTCCCCTACAGCAGCTCGGTAATGAATGTAGCTAGTAGCAGAGATATAATTACCCTCCGCGGGTGGTAGGCAGTCGCTTAGTGAGTGAATCCAATTCTGAAGAGACAAGTCGGATACAAAAGTATTGTAATTAAAGTGGTTACTCACTCCTTATTTTGCTTCAGTGTAGCGATCTACACAGGTCCCAAAAGTATGGCAGTCCACACAAATTGATGGTTTCTCAGCAATCACCCATAAACAGGGAGAGGAGATATATCCATAGAGGGATTCAAGTTGAATGATCATGGGGGTCACTCTAGACCAGTGGTGGCGAACCTTGGCACTCCAGCTGTTTTGGAACTACAAGTCCCATGAGGCATTGCAAGGCTCTGACAGCCACAGGCATAACTCCCAGAGGCAGATGCATGTTGGGATTTGTAGTTTTGGCACAGCTGGAGTGCCAAGGTTAGCCACCACTGCTCTAGACCGTTCATCAAGATGA